AGGAAATAAGGCGGTGTAGACCAATGCTAGAGATTAAAGAATTACAGAAAATACATAAAGTAGATATTAGTACTTACAGATTGAAAATTAAATGTACTAATGTTCCAAAATTAGTATTCAATTTTCTTCACAACAATAAATAGATAAAACCAACTGGCTCATTTTCTGAAAGGTAGAATTTTAAATCATAAAGTTCTATGACTGATTACAATGTTTTGATGGAAACAAAGAATAACGTTAAAATTTATTCACCTTTACTTACACGTTACAATCATATGCTTTTTATAATAGAGTAGATTAAAAATGAGTCTCGTGAGTTTCGGTTGCATTAATATAGGAGGTTTTTTAGAGATTGTTCGTTTTGACAATAGTCAACATTACAGAGATTTTATGTAGATGGCTATTAACAAGCGGGAAGCACTGAATAGCTGTTTCGTTCATTTATGGAACTCCTGAAATATGGACATTCATGATTTGATCAAAGATCTAACTTAGAACTTTTCAGTATCGTAGCAGACAAGATACAATAGTGAGTGTGAGAGTTAAAATCCAGTGGTCCATAATTTTCAGTTGTAAGAGAAGTATATTTACAACTGAAGAACATATGGAAATCAAAACAATTGTCAACCAACATCAAGATCAGAATTTTCAATACAAATGTCAAGACAGTTCTACTGTATGGGGCGAAAACTTGGAGAACTACGAAAGCCATCATCCAGAAGATACAAGTGTTTATTAACAGCTGTCTACGCAAGATACTTCGGATCCGTTGGCCAGACACTATTAGCAACAAGCTACTGTAGGAGACAACAAACGAGATTTCAGCGGAGGAAGAAATCAGGAAGAGGCGCTAAAAGTGGATATGACACACATTGAGGAAATCACCCAATTGCGTCACAAGACAAGCCCTCACATGGAATCCTGAAGGCCAAAGGAGAAGAGGAAAACCAAAGAATACTTTGCGCTGAGAAATTGAGACAGACATGAGAAGAATGAACAACAACTGGATAGAATTAGAAAGGAAGGTCCAGGACAGAGTAGGTTGGAGATTGCTGGTCTGGGGCTTATGCTCCATTGGAAGTAACAGGCGTAAGTAAGTAAAGTAGGTCCATAATTTCAACTTCATTCAATTTGTGATATATTAAGAGATAATATTCCAATTTATTCGGAACATACAAGTGTAATGGCCATGATTTTGTACATCTATCCACTTGAACTGTTGAGAAACGAATTATATTACAATGTATAGTAAATTTATCTTACCTAACTTTTTTACAACTACGTTAGAGATAATAGCTAACATATTTTTAAAAAAAGTTATGTCTGCTTATTGACTTTACTAGTATGTTCTACATAATGAAATAATGCTCAATATATGTATTAATTGTGATTAGTCAACATTTATGAAAAGATAAGAGAAATCACTTTACTTGTTTCACCGTTACATCCTACACTACAGTTTCTACTATGAGTTCGGTCTAATTCATAAGTATTTTAAAAGTTTTTTTGCTTAATTGATATATTTGAAAAGATTTTGTCGAGATTGATCAAAATTATTCTTACAATTCTTCATAGATTAATCTCATTTAGGCTTAGGCGTTCGCTATGAGACCTAGAGATGCCCTGGTACGACTAAGAGTGGAGAGAGTCCGCTCTCCCTCTCGAAATGTTCTCACATGGCCACGTGTATATAGCCTCTACCAGGGAAGTCCTACTCACTGAGTTCTCGCATTAGGGGTGTTGTTTACGAAATTGAGAGGACGAAAAGCCAATGTTCAGAGCTTTAATCGGGTTGGTGGATACGGAAAGTCCATCTAGGGCAGTTGGCAAACCCTGATTCCAAACCAATGGTGCACATGGGTTCCAGTATCCTGAGGGAAAAATGGCATATGAATCAGTTGTTGGTCACCGGCTACCATGGGACTGAATCTCCTTACGATGGATCAGACTTTTAGGTCAAAGGCTCCGGGTGTGTCCTCCTAAGTAAGCCATCTCCTTCGGTCTGAGCACCCGGGCAGTATCATAGACCTCACACAATTAAATGAAATGATGATTTCTACCGACAATTCTATTCACTCTCCCATTAGAGATCCTGTGATCACTAGCTGGTGTGCTGGCAGATGCACATTTTTGATGAATTCAGTTCTAGAATGAAATAATTGTCCAGTTCTTCCTGATTTTCAGTAATAAATTTAAATAAAATTAACCTCAGATGAATACTACACGTAATAAATGTGTTTATCTATATTTGAAGACTCTGATAAAATGCAGAGTCTTCTGACCACTATAAGCAACAATGCAGGCATGTTCGGGATGCGATTCTCTCCCTCGAAGTGCAAAATGTTACTTCAGGATTGGGTTGCATCGACACCTGAACTAATGATAGGGAGTGAAGTAGTTGAGCGTGTTGACAGCTTCACTTATCTTGGGAGTCTCATCAGCCCTTGTGGTCTGTTGTGTGACCAAATCCCAGCACGGATTGGGATTCGCGAGATGATAACAACCGATGGTTAGAGACCTTGAATGACGTGGCTCAAAATAGTTTGAAATGGCGAAGGTGCATCCACTCTTTGTGTTGTACCAGATTCTAATCTTCTGAATTCTTCATGTCCGTATCCTTTTTCTCGTTCCAAATTTATTTCACTGGATTATACTCCTTCAATAACATCTCCAAACCCTTATCTTTTACACAATACTTATACTCTTACTACTTCTACCAATATGGGATTTGAATCAACAACTGCATCTCTGTGCTGATATGGTATGGCAAATCGAACTGATGTACGTACGTACTAAGTTCTACGTTGTAACTGACTGACTGATAGATTTTTGTAATCATTCTCAAACTTACGTAGGGTAATGTTTGAAGAGTTGTTCCGAAAGAGCTTGCTTTGTGCAGTCAACAAAGGCTGTATCACAAAAGTAAGTAAACTGACTGGTGTACATTGATATAGTTCAAAGCAGAAGTTTGTTCTTCACATAATCATGACCAATTCGATAAGACAATGTGAAGTTTGAGACAAATAGGATGTTTTTTCTTTAAAGAGATAGACAGTCAATTTTTTACAATCTCTACTGAAGAATCTTCTCTAGAGTAAATGTTTATGAAAATCTTTCCTTGTACCCTAGACATTCTTTCCTTTTCATTATTATAGCTTTATATCTATGTCAACGAATGTAGATGAATAGCTGCTATTGATAAACATGTGCCGTTGAAGCCCCTAATAATCCACAACATGAAACAGCCAGTTAACCAATTTTCAATTTGGATTCTAATGAACTGAACAAGAGACTTGACTCACTGTATATCCACAAGAATCAAACAAATTTGTACAACTGACTTAACTGATACTTGAGTATATAGAATTATTGTTTGTAAAAGTTAACCATAAGTACAATTGGACATTCTAAGTAAAAAGAGCAATACTAAAAAGAAAACTTTCTTTGCTGAATAACCCTTAATTGATCTTCAGTGGTAAAATATATTTCGTTCATTATTTGATGTTGACATTTCCAAATTAAATATCATATATTAGTTATCTTATTATAAAGATATACAAATTTATTTATCGATTTAAACATATAAATATTGATGAAAGGGGACACCAGATACATATTCGCCACAGAAATCTCATTTGATTTGTATGAGGGCTATGATACTGCCCGGCTGCCCAAACTGAAGCAGATGGTTCACTTGGGGAGACAGCCGGAGCCTTTGACTTAAAGGTCTGATCCACAAGACAGTGGAGCAACGTAAGGAGATGCAGTCCCATGGTAGCCGGTGACCAACAATTGATTCATATGCCATTTGTTCCCTCAGGATACTGGAACCCATGTGCACCATTGGTTTGGAATCAGGGTTTGCCAACTGCCCTAGATGGACTTTCCGTATCCACCAACCCGATTAAAGCTCTGAACATTGGCTTTTCGTCCTCTCAATTTCGTAAACAACACCCCTAATGCGAGAACTCAGTGAGTAGGACTTCCCTGGTAGAGGCTATATACACGTGGCCATGTGAGAGCATTTGGATATGGAGAGCGGACTCTCCCCACTCTCGACCGTACGAGAGAACTTGGGGGCATATAAATGCATCATAGAGAAATGATCAAACCTAAAGGTGGTAAGCGTATCTTGTAAAAGTCAATGCGAATAATCTCATACTTAAGTAATATAGACAGATACATTGAAACAAAGATCCATTAAGTTGCCTTTTACTCATCATAACAAATGTATAAAATACTTTTTCTCGATAGTAGAGATATTTCGAAAGTTCTTTATTTATAAAAGGAGCACTAAGTTAACAGACTAATTGCTTCTCACAAGGTAACTAGAATATTATAGATAATCCTTCTTTTAAATAATTTTTTATTATATTATCCCCATTCTGATAATAATCATGTGTTCACTAGCGACTAGCTTCAAGATGGATTTTCTGGAATGCTAGAGAGGAGCCGTGATCAATTAAGTCCGATCCGTGTCAGGTTTAGACAGTTATCCACTACAGACAATGTGTGAAGGGTTGCCTAAAGTCATTGATCAACTAAAGTTGGACATGAACACCGTTGGGTGCCGGTTCAGTGGTCTGGACGTTAAGCGCCCACAAGCAAGACCGAAGGTCGTGGGTCCAAGTCTCATGTGAGGAATCATGGATGCTCACTGTTGAGGAGTCCCTTACGAGAACAAGACAGCCATCTTGTGCTTTCAGGTTTTCAATGTTGGTTCAGCTTACATCGACCCATGAATTCAAGTATTAAAATTACTACAATCTCCACAAATCCCCATTTTGACAAAATTAAAAAACCCAGTCTAATTGATTATTTGTAAGAATCTATTCGTGTTAGTGTGCAGGCTATTTCACATTTTGTGCAAAATATTTGCTTTAGACTTTGAATATACATATAAATACATATCGATATACATACATAAAAGCTGGTTACTACCTAAAGCCCTTTTCATTATATGTAAAGATATAACTATTTTTATTGAAAATTGGGAAATCTAAAGACTAATGCGATGTTTTCTTTCTATCTAGTTTTGACTACTGAATTCTATATCCTAGTGTGGAAACTATAGCTGTTATCCCTTGAAATGTTATTATTATTCTAGCTTAACTGTCTGCATAACAATCTATTTTAGTTTAATATATACTTTATCATTTGTGATTTAATGTGTCTTTAAGTGAATTCACTATGGATTTGTCCTTGGAAAAAAACACAGCTTACATTGAACAAATTGTATCATTTTTACCTATTATGAAGATAGAATGAATTTTGAGAGAAACCATCGATCGTTTACTAATCTAGGTGCATTTATTGGCCAATAAGAAAAAACCTATTTATATACATACACCTACAATTATTTGTCCGCAAGAAGAACGCATATATAAATAAACCGTAGATGTATGCATAGAGAACATATTCATCTAACCGTGTATATACTGTAGTTACATTCACCTATACCAATCACCAGTAATATGCAACCTTAATCATCGTTAATTTTTCATTCAGTAAACTAGTTACTCAACAATGATTAATTGATAAATAAATAGTTGTGAATAAAATCGACGGTTTTCTTTTCTTCTTTCATCCATCAAACAACAAATTCATTGTCTTTCTCATTTGTTGAAAGGATCTTCACAAAACCCCTTTCTTATTTGTATAAATTTTGAAATTGTAAAAAGAAAAACAATATTATCCTATTCTACGCATATATCAATTAGTGAATATGTTATACGGTGGTCCTCTTGGTACTTATCTTAGTGGTTTGTCATCATCATCGTCATCATCTTCAACTAGTGGAATATCACATCTTAATTCATCAAGTTCAGTATATAATACATCTGGTAATAATGCAAATTATTATACTGGAACAATAAGTGGATTAAGACGTAGCAGTTCAAGATATCGAAATTCTACAAGTGGTAATAATTTATCAACAACATCAACTCCATTAAATACTACTAGTAGTAGTAATATCAGTAATAGTAATAATAGTAGTAGTACTGTAAGTGGAACTAATCCATATTCATCTTATTATACACCACCAGTAAGAAGAAAATATGGAACACCTGAAGTAAGTTGATGTCAACTGTATAGTTTATGGATAGTTTTTTGTTTTTAGATGTAGCATGAATTTGTTGTTAAGGTATTTGCTTTGAAACATCATTAACAAGTTATCATTTGTGAACTATGATATTGAAATAAATGAATAGTTGAAAGCGTGAGTCAATTGAAGCTAGACCACCAAGGAAAACCTGGAAGCACTGGACGGCCGTTTCAATTATAAAAATACTAAATCTCCACAAAAAACCCCTTCTGAAATAAATGAATGTCAAACTGTTTGTAATTGATCACTTGCATTTAATAAATGAATTCGGTTATGATTCAATGTAAAATAATGTAGAAATGTTTTGAAAAGAATGTTTAGTTTACTGATATTAATCACTAACTGGTGTACACTACTTATTCAGACAGACATAAGTAATATTTAGCAGGAATCGGAAGTAGAATACTAACTAGTAGAATAGTGAAATAGCGTGAAGAGGAAGGTAAACGAAGAGTAATCGGAATGTCAATAGGATTAAAAGAATAATGAAGTGTGTAAAAGACAACTGACAGAAGATATGTAGATGATATATTTTGATGTAAAATTATGATATTTTGCAAAGCTACTGTTTGATTTTACATAAAACAATAAATTGGCTTACGTCAACTGAGTTCCCACCCACTACGTTATGGAGTTTTGAAATTATAGATAACAAGTAAAAAGGGTATATTGCTGTCTATAAATTTACTTAGTTAACAGGGTTTATAATAGATAATAGTTTATTACTAAATAGTAAGGTATAATTAAAAATTATTCATCTCTTGTAAATGTTCAACATTTAATTAACGAAGGTTTTATGAGTAAATATTTGGGAAAATTCTAAATTTACTAGTCTACATCTTTTATAAATCAAGAACAAATAACTAAATATGGTGGAAATCATGAGTCAAATAGAGCTAGACCACCATGGAAAACCTGAAAGTACTGGACTGCTGTTTCGTCCTATTGTGTGACTCCACAGCAGTGCGCATCCACGATTCCGCCTCGCGAGATTCGAACCCAGGACCTATCAGTCTGAAATCTCCACAAAACCCCTTCTGATCTATAATCATCGCGCATCCACGACCACAGATATCTTAGAAATATTGCTCGCATCTGCTGGGATCACTGGGTAAGTAATAGTGAGGTTAGACACAGGGTATTAGAGAATGATGGTCAATCAGTTGATATGGGTTGTGAGTCTTCATCGACTGAGATGGTTAGGCCACTTGTCATGTATGTCTAAACACCGATTATCATGACGCGCCATGCTGACTAGTATTGGCGATGGTTGGAAGATAGTTAGGGGCGGCTAAACGAAAACGTGGCATCAGAGCTTGAAGTCATTAACTCCTAGTCTGAGCCATGTTGGTAGATGCAGACTACTTGGTTGGGGTCCGCGTGACTATCGTAACCAATGGTTGGAGGTGGTATGGCTCGGAATCGATCACAATGGCCGTTTCGTCCTATTGTGGGACTCCTCAGAAGCGTGCATACACGATCCCACTCCGCTGGATTCGAACCCAGAACCTGTTAGTCTTGCGCGCGAGCGCTTAACCACTAGACCACTGAGCTGACCGGCATCCAACAGTGGTTATGTCTAACTTCAACCAATCCACGAAATTGAGCAACCATTCACCATTGTCTTCAGTGAGTTACTATCTCACAACAGACAATAGATAAATAAATATGATTTAACTCACTTACTTAATGTAAGTTTATGTACCTGGTTTCAATTCATATTGTTCGTATATGTTGGTTATTGATTATGCTCAGTTGTCCAATGCCGGTAACAATCGGTTTCCAGCTGAATAACTATGAATGTCTATAATGTTACTTTTAATGGAATTTTTTGATTATCCACATGGTTCACATTCATGGACATTTTTCTAAATTTAAATATTTTCAGAATGGAAAATGATATAAGTATTGCTTTATAAGACAGTTAGATACTCATGATCAGATTAAGTAGATAAGCTGTTTACAGATGGTTTTTATTACGAGTTAATGATATCAAATAGACAATTAGTGAAAATTAGGGGTTACTAGACAAGTATTTCTTTGTAATTTTGAGTAATTTTTACCATCGAATATTCATGAATTCAGTTGAATAAGATCAAGACTAAAACTTTGAATTTTTTATCAAAGATCATGATATTTTAAGATGAAAACAAAACTGTCTATTTTTTCACTATTTAGTCAATCTGTGATAAAGTACAATCCTCGACAATCTCATGTGGGTTATTGTCTTATTTAGTTGACTGCAGTAGTGACGTTTTCCTATTAGAACCTTAGAAAAAAGCCTTGTCTACTAATCTCATTCTTATCAACATTGTTATTATTTAAGAAGTGATTTTTTAAAGTTTGAAAAGGACTTTTACCACTGACTGATGTCAATACTAGAGATCCATTGATAGTTTTACAAATGTCTTAAAGAACAGCATCAATAGACAAATAGATATTTTATCAGTATAATATTACGGAGATTGTTGAGTTCAGATTAATATCATGAATGAAACAATTTTAGACCATCACTGTGAACCTGCAAGCAGTGCACGACTGTTTCAACCTTGTATGGAACTCCTCAGCAGTGTACATCCACGATCCCGCATGCGGGACTCAAACTAGTTGTCAAGACGAAATGAATATGTATAAATGACCTTAAATGTAATGCATCGGGTACTTGAACGTTTGATTTCGATTTTTAACTACTTCCTAGTCCCCCAAGAAATCTCTTACTCTTAAATCCCCCAAAAGGAAGAAAAGAGATTGATTGAAAGTATAGGAAGAATGTTTACTTTGAAGGGTAATTTAAGTATGGAAAACAATTATATTTATAGGCTTGTGAGTATGTTTGATATTCTGAAGTCTTCTGGTAACAATGAAATTAGCAGTTATCTAGTCAAAATGCTATACAATTCACTGCCATTTTTATTTTTAGAATTCTCTTAAAAAACGTTTATATTCAACATTAAGGGATCTCCTCTTTTATCTAACTTCTCAAGGTGTTATATCGATTGCTTGAGTGTGCCCTGTTAATATATATGGACGTTATAATACCGTCAATTGGAGAGTAGTGATTTTATCGATCGGATTATTGACACACAAAATCCGTATGAGCAGTTTTCAGTACTTATCAATCCTGCTATCTGCCTAGCCCAGGCAATTAAGTCCAGAACATCAATAACAGTCTCTGCAATATGAATCATTATTCTCAAACATACTGGGCTTATATACCAATCAAACAGACCACATCGTCCATAAAATAGAAAATAACATTTGTACAAGGGTTAGCCAAATGTGGCTATGAATAGGGGGAACAGTAATTGATAGACTGGGTATAACTCAGGGATGGTAAATCGTATAATAATAGTTCATAGGTCAAAATAAAACTCATAATAAAAGAAACATGAATATGAATAGTTAAGTTACTTAACAATTATTCAATAGAAAATATACGTCTCGTATTGGTCCGTGAACAGTCTTCAAAGTTACCATTCATAAATCTCCACGGGATATAACACAAGGCCTTCCAAAGTACCTACTTATGCATGAATTCATGAATTATATTTATTAATTCATGAATGATCTATCTTACAAGTAAGATAACTGCACATAGATCATACTGAAAAGATTGTTTATAGAAAGGTATAGTAAGACTTATCAATACAGAAAGATAAAGAAGAGAACGAAAGTAAGTCGAATGATGGATAAAGAACAATAAAAAAAAGATTAGCATGTAAAATATTGACTATTAACACCGTGATTAGTAAACATTTACATTATCCCATTGTTGATAATCTTCACTGAATTCCGATCAGTCTTGGCTTATATGTATAGATCCTGATTGGATTATTTCAAAATAATCGTGTTCATAGGTTATTGTAGAATAGAGCAATTTGATCGAGTTTATTAACAACAGGATAATTTAAATCTATATCAATAACGATATCGAACACATATCTGTCATACAAGTAAGTGACTATTTGGATTCAGTAGTTCAGCAAATATTGTTTTGAGCATTCAAAGCAAAATCTAATGGCTTCGAGTCCCGGTGTGTGTATCAATACTGGGATTCAGATAAATTCCAACTAATGAGTCCTAGATTTCACTGCTATCCACAAAGTCATTCCTTTTACATACTATTATTTATACGATTTTTATTACTTATAATAAAGCTTTTCATTAATATAGTAATTTTTGATATTTAAATGGTTTCTACATTAGTATTTGATTGAACCACATAATCCTGAACAACTTAACTTGGCGAAACTATAATTCATGGACAAACAAATCAGATTTAAGATAGAATGTCTTAGATTTTGACGTGAGATTCATCCACTTATTTGGCTAAATAACATTTGGCCATTATAATTGATGTCAGTTCGTAATGAAAACATTGAATATCATTTCTAACCTTAACATTCAACTGTAAATCCTAATCCTAGTTCCTCGCACTAATTTTTAACCTTCATTTAACCCTAGTAAGTAGATAGACATTTTCAAGATCATTTTAGCGTTGCTCAAGGGTCGTTCATAAATTGTAGTCTCACTATTATATTGCAGTGACTTGATAACATGTGGATTATATTCAAATCTATTCAACTAATCAACTAAATAAAGATACTTTTAACTTGTTATTACTAAATATTATTATTTTAAATTAATTTATATTTAAATTCACTTGATATTGTTTGTTTGAATCTTCCCATTGATGTTTAGGACTGCAATTGATCAGTCTCTTGTTGGCATATGTGCATACTGTGCGTATTGGCTCGATATAGCCTTAATTCACAAGCATTATAAGCAAAGATGAATAGTGGCTAGCAGTGGAATCCAGGACGCGAGTTTTGTCCTAATTGAGATTAGTCAACTGGATGTACCTGCATCTCAAAGTTGATGTGAATAACACAATGCCGTTTGATGCGAATGGCACTGGGTTCGATTCCCAGAGTGAATATCAAATCTGAGATGCAGGTACATCCAGC